TCGATTGCTGCTGCGTTGTGATGAAGAATGTCTGTAGTACTGATGAAGCGACTAGTCCACATTGGTTTCACCATACTATTCAAATTAACTAAGCATCTTTGTTTTTATAAGGTTGTGTAATATGACGGGGTTGGGAGAATTTTGTCATTCTTGTTCATCGTCCTTTTGCGAAGGAAATTCACAGTAATGGTGGTCCTAGTGAGTCTTCCTCTCATTTGTAGGTTGCAGTTCAGGGCAGTAAGGAGTACACTCCCCTACCAATTCGTGGCGTCTCCGCGGGCCAACTTCCAAGTGTAGCAGAAGGAGGTGGAGTGGGTGGATGGCCAACGGAGGGGTGTCGACTGCGTCCGCAGGAGAACTTCAACGCGGTGGTTCAACATGATTTGAAGGAGTTGGGGGAAAACACTCTCATCTGTGCCGTTTCTTATACAGCGTGTGTTCCATCATCCTCTATACCTGCATCCGTTTCTACCACTCAACCGCCTTCTTTAGCTGGTCTTCAGCAGCCAGCGTTAGCAACCGTTAAAAATTCTGCCAAGAGTAAGTGGTCTAATAGTGAAACTTAATGGATAATTTAAGGAAACAAATTCCTGCTTTACTCTATTTTGAACTCAGTGGATGCTTTTTAAGAGTGTAAAAGCACTTCAACTTTTGAAATTTGCGTCACTGTTTTGCGTGGCACTAACAGAAGAGGAATGAAAAGGAAATCCATCAATTTTGGGTGTCTAGGAGGAAGAATTTGTTTTGGTGAACGATGGCTAAGGTCACTGATAGTAGAGTACAAAATATCGAAGAGAGGAAATCCCGAAACACCGCAGGTTGTCAACACTAGGCATCAAATGGCAGTGGAGAGGCTGCAGTAGAACTCCAAGCTGACTCTACATGTCATCTTAGCATTGGTCCTCAGAAAACAAAAACCAAATTCTATAGGCCTCTTGAATTCGCTGATAGGATGAGAGTGGTGACTGACGGTGCCTAAAGGTTGTTGATACTACTATTGCCTTAATATTTCTCCAAGTGAAACAATTGGTCTCTGTCAGTTGAATAGGCTGTCACGCGAGATGCTTCACTGCACTCATCAAAGTCAAATATTTCGTTGACAATGTGTGTAAATGATTGACTAGCAGTAACTCCTTTTTCAAATCATCATTATGACTTGTTGAATGCACTTTTAAATCGTTTTCTGCTCTCTGAAGGAGGCGAGAATGTGGAAGTAGCCAAGTGTGTACTTTTGACATATCTTTGCCTAAACCGTTTTAGCGTTTTGATATGCCATTCATTGGAGGTGTGCAGTTCCTGTAGTCTCCGACTGACAGCCTATCGGAGAGCAGCAGTTGGGTTGATGAATGGGAGTACTCACGTCGTAAACTCGGATTCATACCACCGTCACTCTTCAGTCTCCTAATCGCTTTTTCACGGTCTTTAAACCTTTTTGAAGTCCACTTTAGTAAAAAAAGAAAGTGCTGGTATGGAGAAAATAAATAGCCCGCATCAGAATGGCGAACCGACATTTGAGACAACTT